TGGTCGAGTGTGATGGGGTGCTGTGCCCTGGCTCCACAGCCTATTTTTGGTATTCCCAGGGGATTTCATCGCTCTGCTCCCCTTGCTGTTCTGTTGCATACCCTTAGTGTTTCGCCTCGGTGTTGTGGGGTTAGATCGGGCACAATTCTCCCACTGTGTCTCCGGTGTTTTCGCCCGTAACACTGTGGGTCAATGGGGGATGTCTTGTCTTCTGGTGGAGCAGCCCTATGGTCCTCTGTGCATTGGCTGCTCTGAGCAGGAATATTGTCCTTTGGCTTGGTGGGCCAGAATGTGCTCCACTCACTCTCCCTCCTCCTTCATTTGCTCCCATGTGTCCCTCTCCCTGAGCTGTAGCTTCAGTGCTGTCTTCTGAAGTTAATTCTTCCAGTGGGCGTTGGGGAAGAGGCTGTCCACGCAGTTGGGATTGGGGCCGGCCCCTCAGACCTCTCTATTGGTTTCCTGCTTGCATTCACGTCTTGGCCCACCAGGCTGAATGAAGTCTGGTCCTTCTTTCCCTGTGGAGATATAAACTACACCTTCCCTTTGGTTAGTGCCCTGTTCCCCTGTAACCCATGTCTTTTGAGGGTAAATATTCTTGCCTTGTTCTCAATCTTACAGAGGAAATAACATCTTCCATCATCAAGTATAATGCCAGGTGTATGTTTTTTTGTTTTTTAATTTTTATGCTTTTATCACATCGAAGGCGCTTCCCATTATTCTAATTTTTCTGGAATTTTTTATTAAGATTGGGTATTGAAACATGACAAAACAATAATTTATGAATTATGAAGGGTTCATGAGGGAGGGAGGAGTGGGGAGGGAGGGGGAAAATGAGCAGTCTATATTAAGGGCTAAAGTAGAAGGCAAATGTTTTGAAAATGATGAGGGCAACAAATGTACATATGTGCTTGACACGATGTATGTATGGGTTGTGATTAAGAATTGTACAAGCCCCCAATAAAATGATTATTAAAAAAAGATGGGATATTGAATTTCAGAAAATACCTTTTCTTTGTAGTTTGTTTTGTCTTTCTTTTTTTGGAGATGATATTCCACACTTGGCTATATGTATGAAGTAATTTTTATGTATAGTCTTGTGATTTTTAAATTTTTGAGCCCATTAATGTAGTAGATTACACTGACATTTTTCATTAACTAAGCAGCTTGAATTTCCAAGCTAAACTTACTTTGGTCATAGTATGTAGTTCTTTTCATGTATTTCTACTAGCTAATTTTCATAAAGGATTTTTGCGTGTGTTTTCATGAAACTCTTGGTCTTTAGCTTTTTGGGGGAGGGTGGAATGGGGTTTTTGATTTTTCCTATCAGGGTATTATTAGAGTTTTATAAAATGGGTAAGAATTGTCCCCTTCTTCAGCTATTTCCTGAATGAGTTGTATTATTTCTCTTTTAAATGTGTAGTAGAATTCTCTTGTATAGTAATTAGACCAGGTGATTTCTTTTTTGAGAGTTTTAGAATTATCAATTCAATTTTTTAATAGTTACAGAAGTATTCAACTTATCTATTTCATCAGTTTGTTGTAGTTTGCGTGTTTTTGAGGAATTGGTCCATTTTGTCTGAAATTGTCAAATTTATGTGTGTAAATTGTTCTTATTCTTTGGTCTGTTCTGAGTTGCTGTCGTGATATCCCTGTTTAATTTCTGGTAGTCGTAATTAGTGTCTTCTCTAATTTTTTTCTTTCATTCTTCCTGGAGGTTTGCCAATTTTATTGACTTGTTTAGAGAACCAGCTTTTTTTTTCTTTTCATTTTTTCCCAAATTCATTGATTTCTGCTCTTTATTATTTCCTTTTTTCTGCTAGGTTTTTTGTTTTCTTCCCAAGAACTAGAGATTATATTTGGGATTTCTAATATAAGCATTTAATGCTGGTAGTGTCCCTCTCAGTGCTGCTTTAGATATGTCTCTTAAAAGTTGGATGTTATACTTTTATTTGCATTTACTTAGTGTATTTTACAATTTCCTTTGAGGCTTCCTTTTGGGCTCATTACTTTAGAAATATGTTGTTTAGTTTCGAAGTGTTTGCAAGTATTCTATGATCTTTTTGTTTTGATTTCTTGTTTGATTCCACTGTGGTTGGAGAACACATTCTGAGAGATTTTTTTTTTTGGTAAAACTTATTTCATTGCCCAGGATAGTCTGTCTTGGTATATATTTCGTGGACACTTGCACAGAATGAGTTGGGTGGAGTTTTTCTGTAAATGACGATTATAACCTGTGGATTATTTGTCTTCTAAATTTTATTTATATTTGTTGTTGAGGATGTAAACAGCAAAACATATGCCAACCCAATATTTACTACATGTATAGGATAGACTTTGATTATGTTCTTTGAGTTATGCTATCATTCTACTCTCTTAACTTTTTCTTCATTAATATAAATCACTGCCCCTTAAAGTTACTATTGAATTTTTTGATGGTTTGTTATGTTTGATCCTATATGTTGTTGTTCGGTGCCATTGAGTTGGTTCTGACCCACAGAATGATACAATGCCTGGTCCTGCGGCATCCTCACAGTGATCCCTATGCTTGAGCCAATTGTTGCAGCCATTGTGCCATTCAATTTCATTGAGGGCCTTCTTCTTTTTCACCGCCCCATTACCTTACTTAGCATGATGTCCTTCTCCAGGGGACTGGGCTCCCCTGACAGTATATACAAAGTATGTAAGATGAAATTTTGCCATCCTTGCCTCTAAAGAGCACTCTGGCCATACTTGCTCCAAGACAGATTTGTTTGTCCCTTTAGTCAGCCATGGTACTTTCAGTATTCCTCTATGGTACATATAGGTAGTTCTTAAAAGAGCATAATGATTACAGAAAATATTTTTTTTATTAATTAGGCTGAACTATTACCTGGTTTTTAAGATGACATCAAGGGGTGTTTTTCTTTGAGGTATAAAAATGAGTTGAGAGCAGTAGTTTCAGGGTTCATTTACCCTTCTTTAGCTTCAGAAAGTATAGAGTCCGTGAGAATTTGAAATTCTGTTTTATATTTGCCTCTTCTTAATTAGGATTCTTTGATCAAAATGTTCAGATATCATTCAGTTCTTCCGCTCTCAAGACAGAAAGCAGTTGCTTGTAGGAGCAATTAGCTACACATCTCTTGTCTTCTTCCCTATTCCCAACTCCTTCCTCTCTTGCTCCAGATAAACAGAGACCAGTTGTGCTTTAGATGACTATTTACAAACATTTAACACCCCAAAACCCAAAATAAAATTCATTGTTATCTAGTTGATGCTGACATAAACACTGCAGGAAAAAAACTAAAACAAAATCTACGATGTAGAACAGGTATGCAAAATATACTAGGCAAATTAATTGGGATGTCCCATAAATCTATGACCTTTTCCAAACCAAGAAACTTAATCTTGTAAAGTGTTGGGTTATATAGGTAGTTCTAGTACGTACTTTGTTTTTGATCATTGTTGTAAAGATACCTCTCACATGCTTTTGCAAGTTGAACTTATATAGGTGTACAACTTACCAGTTGCAGTAATTAGCCATACAAGCCTACCCTTAATTAATGCATTTTCCCCATCACTGCTAACCACCCATTGCCCCCTCCTTCTCATCTCTAAAAATCTCAAAACTCAAAAAACCCCCAAAAAACATCAAATTAATTTTAATTCACAGTGACCCCATAAGACAAAGTTGAACTACCTCTGTGGGTTTCTTAGACTGTAACTCTTGAGAGGAGTAAAAAGCTTCATCTTTCTAACATAGAGCAGCTGGTGGTTTCAAACTGCTGTCCTTTCGGTTAGCAGCCCAACCCTTATTAACCCACTGTATCACCAGGGCTCCCATTCCCAACTCTGGTAACCATAAGAAAACTTAGATCTCAATACATTTGCTTATTCTTGTCTTTTCATGTGACTGAGCTAGGCAATGTTTGTCCTACTGTGTTTCACTTATTTCATTCAGTGTAATATCTTCAAGCCCCACCCATACTGTAGCATGTATTAAGACTTCATTTATCCTACTGGCTGAGTAGTATTGTGTTACATGTATGTGTTATTATTTTGTTTATCCATTCATTTGTTGATGGGTATTTAGTTTATTTCCATCTTTTGATTGTTGTGAATAGTGCTGCTATGGACAAATCTCTTGAGTTTCTGCTTTTAAGTCTTTTAGTTATATATCTAGAGTGGAGTTGCTGGGTGATAACTGCTGTGTGTGTGTGTGTGTGTG